CATGAAGTCATCAGGGCTTTGGAGAACGGCTCTCTCAGCAAATCTCTAAAGCCTTTCTCAACATGTCTAATGGGCAGTCATTCCGTGCTCAGTCAGTGTCTTCACAAAGCTTACTGGCGGGGTGGCTAATAAATCTTAGCCTGTAATGAAAGTCCACAGGCATGCTTTTGGCCCTCAGGCCAGGAGTGTTAAAGTGGGACTGAGACTCAAAAAAAAAAAAAAATGCCAAAGAGATGAAGCTAAGTAAGCTGCAGAAGCCCAAAGAAACCAAGAACAGTAATTCAAACTATATACTTGCATCTCAAACTACTTATCTGTTAACCCATCCAACAACAGGGAGTGCACTTGTTCCAGTCTCGCTTCCTGTACCGAGAGCGGACCCTGCGTCTCTGGCTATGGGAAGTCCAAACATTGTTTGCTGTGTGTTCTTGTTCCTTAACACAAGAAAACCAACTTGAGTAGCTATGTTCATAACTGACATGCTTACCTACGACTTTTCATGTATTAAGTATTCTGGCCTTCATTTTGACCCTTAAGGACATAAGACCACAATTAAAGCCATCTGAATAGACAAGGGGAATAAAAGTGAATATATCACATTGTAAACAGATCTCCACTAGTCAGGGTTTTCTTTCAGTTTGGGTGTGGGTGTTATTTGGGTTTTTTTTTTAATTTGGGTTTTTTTTCATGGGTTTCATTTTCAGGACTTCACCCTATCTGCCAACCCTCAGGTTACATTGCAAACAAAACCACAAGGCTTTGCATCCAGTCTACTGTAATCATTACAAGTTTTCTTCATTCTCTTTTTTCCCTCCTACTCTTTCTCACCCAATAAGTACACATGTTGGTATTCTGATTCGGGTAAGAACTCACTTCACTCTCTCACTAAACAAAAATGTACAGTCTTTAAAATATCATGCATAGCTCAAGGTACTTGGGATACATTTGTGAACAAAATGAAACTTATATGCCACTTACATTGCAACTTACATGCCACTAGGTAGAAATTGTTATTATGTATTTGTATTCTCATATAATGTACAACAGGTGAAAGTGCATAAAGAAACAGTAGTGCAAATAATGCATTACTTGGATAGTGGATTGGGTGGCAAGACAGGTATTGAAATGGGCAATTACCAGATCTCATTGACTTGAACCAAGACTAAAAGCAATGAAGATACACAGAGGCAGAGGGATAGAGCAAAGGCTCTGGGGTGACAGAATGTCTGAATGTTCAAGGAACAGCAAGGCAGGAAGTCAGTGTGGCTGCAATAAGCTATCTAGGGAGTGAGTTAAGACTCCACTGTAGAAGCACAATGTAAGTCTTCACCTCAGTGAGAAATACCAGTCACTGCAGTTATTAAGCAAAGAGTCATGTAAGGACTCCTTTCAAAAGGATCTCATCAAGACTGCTGTGTTGAGAAGTCTGTAGTGAGCAAGGTTGGAAGAAGGAAGACCACTTAGGCTAGCCAAGATGATAGCTGATTACATCAGAAAAGCAGCAGAAGGGGTTTGAGAAGTGGTCAAGCTCTGGATACTGGAGGTAGAGAGTCATGCTTTCCTAGCAGACTAAATATGACATGCAAGAGAAACTGGATTGTCAAGGATGACAGATGATCTACAAAGTATGCAGTTATCAATCATTGTGAGCAAAACTCCAAAGTCACTTTAGGGTTCAGATGTGACAAGAATCTTGAGGAATTCAGTCTCACTGAATTTTACATTCTCTTTAGCCCATCCCCTTTCTCCTCCTCCCACAGATATGAGCTAATTAGTGACGTCCAGTCTGCTGCAAACCAATGAAGACTTTTCTCTGAAAAACTACAGGTACAACGGCAATGACAACAGACTCCCTACCCCAGAAGGCAACCCAGACTAGTTCTTATTGATGGTTATTCAAGAAAAATGGAAAGTTTCTATTATTGTATACAGGCTAAACAAGCAAGTCATTTCTCCCTTTTTTTGTCTCCTTTGTCTTCAAGTAAGGCTACTATTATCTGTGGGGTTATTTTGAGCACCAAATGAAGAGATATTAAGCACTTGGAGCAACATCTGGCAGAAAGAAAACCTTAAATAAAGGTTTGCAATTATTAACATCATTGTAGTTAAGTGTTTTTGTTATTTCCCAATGTCAGAATGATTTTGTGAGAAAAGATATCTGAGGAACTGATGAGTATAATATAAATTTCAAAAACATAAATAACCTAAGAAACTCTGACAGTGAGTACAAACTGTTGACGGCAGGTGTCACGGGAAACCTAACTGCCTTAACTCGGCCATTCAAATTCTGCTGGACAGGCATGACCCACTGTATGTTACCTCAGGGGAAACGTGCATACTCATCTCATATCTGTTTATCTTAGAGAAACTCACCTATCCAGAAGTCCTATGAGCTTCTCTGAATCTTTCAATTCTGGTTGTCTGAGGTAATTTTTTTTTTAAAGATTTATTTATTTATTCATACAGAACTGGGGTACAGGCCAGAGATGCAGAGGGTGAGAGGCTTCACCAGAGACAGAGTGGGGAGCAGAACAGGCAGATGGACGAAGTACACTGCTGAGGGGAGCAGCGGGCGGGGCAGGAGAGGTCTGCCGCGCCATGTGGTCACCTCCGGGGCAGGCGGGAATCGAACTCATGCGGAAGTGGCTTTAGCTTCTCTGTGCTGTGCTTTAACCCGCTGCGCCACCAGGGAGGGCCGTCTGAGGTAATTTTTAAGGTATAAAAAAGATGGTACTTGAACATTACAGCTTTTGTTATGTATTAGAATAAAGAATTCTTGAGTTAATTTTTAAATGTTTACTAATCATCTCTCAGTGTAACTAGAAGTTAAATACAGATGTACATCTACATGCTATTTAAATGTTTTCTCCTCCCAGCCTCTGATACTGACTCAATTTCTACTGAAAGCACCTGAAAGCAGGTAACAATTTCAAGACTTCACTTGACAATGATTCTCAACCCTAACTGCTTCTTAGAATCACCTGGAGAACTTGAAACTTATGCTTAGATATTTGGTCTAACTGAAACCAATGCTATGACTCGCTGAATGTGGGGGACTGAAAGAATACCATTCACATGGTGAATTATTATTTCTGAGTTTACACTGGTGTCATGAAAACTAGATTCTGAGGGGTAAGGACACTAGGTCTATATTATAAAGTCCCTTAACCTGCTCTATAGTCTCTTTATCCTAAATCTCCAAAGCAAGAGTTCTTTATCTTATTTTCTCAAAAATGACCAGAACATAGATCTTTTTTTCAAATGAAAGACACAATATCCTTTTATTTTTCTCTAGTAAAACTCTTAAGGCTTAGGTCTTAGTGCCAAATAGCTGGTTACATTTTTTTATTCCTTGTTTCCTTACTACAATAGTAAGCATCTTTATAAACCTACTATTTGCACCCAATATTAGTGCACAAAATAAATGAGATATTATTTCCAAAAGTTTGCCTCTCAACACTGGGAAACTGGGTAAAGCCTTTCTATAAAAAACTAATTTATTCTTTTTTAAAAAAGTATATAATACTGAATTAAGTATTATATGCTAGATACGACTTCAGACTATAACAGTCATCAAGACAGAGCTAGTCTAAATATCCTTCTATGTGACTTCAAATGTGCAAATTTCAAAATAAAGTATGGTTATAGTTCAAATAAATCTGGAGTCAGTAATAATGTAAGTCTAAAATACAAACACTAGAAGTATCATATAGAACCATAATTTACTAAGTGCTTACTATAAACCAAATGTTGTATCAAGTCTCTATATGATACTCATTTAATAAAGCTGCTGCCCTAGAGATTAAAATAACTATCTAGAAAATATTAAAGGAGGTCAAACAATGAGGAAATTCTGTCCCTTAATACAGTTTAAATTTGGCTTTCCAGACTGGAGGAGTCTAAAGAGACCAAGAATGGAGAATCATGACAGAATTGTGTCCATTCAGACAAGAATCTTTTATTTTATCAGATTAGCTCAACTACCATCAACTGTGAGATTTAGGGGAAAATAAAGTCAAGTTGCCATAAAAATATATCTCCCATTTCAAACTGTTTTAAAGTTGAAAATATGAAAACTGTATTTCAAGCACAATACGTGTACGTGTACTACCCATCTAAAGTTATCACTAAGTCACATAAAATAGTACTAACAATCATACAAAGACCAATACAATACACATTACTAAGTGCTGTGATCAGCCCTTTAACTTCCTTTATAAACACTACTCCAAACCTACAGTCACCCCCATATATCAGAAATTCATAGAATTTAATTCAGCCCCAAGAAAAAACGTGATGACATAACCAAAGCGGTTTCCAATTTTGATAGTACTCTAAAATAAGCATTCAGATGAGCGAAGCTATTTGACTCCAATCTCTCGACCCTCCTCCCCAAAACATCCTTTTTTATTTTTTAAGTTTTTAAGGGAAATGAGGGTGGAGGACAGGCATGTGAGGTCAGTGTGTAAGTTTCCCGGGAGCTGGCACAGACCCACCCTATTCTTCAACTCTTGGAACATGAGACTGTGATACCTAACTGAGGATCAGCTCTCCAGTTGTGCCAAGCCTCTTCTAGACCCTCGCCTTTTAAAGGACAACCAAGCTCACCCTCGCCGCTCATAACTTGACTTGTGGCTACATCAGACAATTGCCTGGAATCCCAGGCTCTGAAGCTGCCTGCGCCCCAGCAGTGGTCACCCGCGTACTGATGGGTCAGATCTGTCACCTCGCCACCCACACCCTTCGCTCGGCGATGCTCCGAGCCGCCTGCCAGCAAAGTTTCCCACTGGGGGATACAAGCTAGGGGGCTGTCCGAAGGCAGCGTGGCCGCGAACGCCGATTATGGCCCCAGCCTCGAATGGCCATGGGGGCTGGCTGAGAAGCAAAGACGGCCCAGGCGACAGACACCCGAGTGCCGGAGCCCCACAGGGGTGGGCGGCTCAGGGCGTCGGGAGGGCTAGCCTAGGCCCCCGACTCGGGGCCCGGACCTGCCTGCTCACCGTCTATGTTTTCCCGGTCGCTGATGTGCTGCAGGTTGCAGCCGGTGTCCTCGCGGCTGAGGTCCGTATCGGGCCGGTAAGACTCCAGCCGAGAGTGTGCATTCCTCCGGAGCTTGGGGCTGGATGACACGCAGCACGAGGTAGTGTTCCCCATCTTCGGCGGTCCCCGGACTCCTGCCGTTCGGGCCTTCCACGCCGTCCCCGGGCGCCGGGCGCGGGCGGGCGCGGGGCGCGCTCACCTTTGCTGTGCTTCAGGTAGCTGACGGCCATCTCCAGGATGTCGGCCTTCTCCAGCTTGGAGTTCGGGCGGTGGGCGCCGGGCGCGGGCGGGCAGGGGCGCGGGCTCCTGGAGCCACGGCCAGTCTGCCGCACAATTTGGGCTTTGGGTCCTGCCAATGGTCCGAATGGCCCGCTCTGGGCGTCTGCGAGGCCCCGGCCTGGCGGGCTGGCCGAGACGCCCCC